TGTAGAAATTTCACGCAATGTCCGTATTTTCAGTAAATGCTTCAAATATCTAGCTTTTGCTAGTAAGTAAAAGCAAAAGGTTATTCACTTCAATTTCAGCAAATGCTATTAGCAAAAGCTTAATCTACCTAGTAAAAGCTAAAGCTATCACTTAATACTAAAAGTGAAAGCTTAATTTTTATTCACACTGCCCCGTTCCAGTTTTCTTTGTTTAAATCAGTTTTTAGAGCATTATAATTAATATATTTTTTTGTGTGTCGAGTATTTTCATTTATTTTAATTTCTTTAGTTGGTAAGCTTAAAACAATTGGATAATAATCTGTTAAATCGATTTTCAATACAAAAGATTTTGGCGTTTCCAAAACATCCTGATTGCAGACCTTTACGAAATAATGATCAAGACATGATTTTGTTTGAGGCCTAGTTACTGTGTTAATATAAGACGTAAAGAAATAGAAATTTAGAATATTTTTGTATTCTTCGTCTTCAGGTGATAATGATAGTAAATTCATATTAAGGTCCCCAGTAATTATATGGTTTTTTGCATGTTTTTTCATTTCAAGATACTGTGCAAAATCGTTAATAAATTCTGCTTTGGTGATATTAGGGGATTTGTATATACAACTTATTAAAATTTTATGATTTAGATTCGTATCGAGTTCTAGTTCTATGGCTTTTACTTGACCGATGTATTCGAATTTATATGTGTGGGGTATTGTATTTTTCAAAAATACAATTGTCCCATCGCCTAAAAGTAATACAGCCTTCAGAATCTTCTTGCAGTTTTCTTCTTTTTGTTAGATCTTGTTTTAATTCCTTCTGGGCTAGGGGTTTTCTGTTGTTTTCTCTTTTTGCTTTTCTTGGTTTGCGCGATACTGGGTTCTGACTTTGATTTCACTTTTTCCTTCTCTTCTTCTTCACTTTCTCCTTCGCTCGATTCCTCAAGATCTGAGCTACTGCTTAAGGACACATCCGGATCTGAAAGGTCTTCTAATTCTTTAGCCGTATAAAGTTTACTATCGATTTCCAATTTGAGTCCTTTTATTTTTGCTTGTTTGTTTTCGTTCAACGCTTTTTTTAGGTGCTCTCTTAATACTTTAAGTTCCCTTCTCCTTCTATCCTCCTCACAAAGATCGTTGGAAATTGCATACGGCGTATTCTTTTGTGCTCTAAGCTTTTCGGGGTTCTTAAAGAGCTCCGCTTTTTTCAAGTAAGAATGAAATTCGATTAGAATTGGCGCAGAGTCTGATTTGCCAACCTTGTATATATTATTGATATTGCTTTCTTGTATGTTAACTGAAAAAAGTTCGTTTATTTTTGAAATTGTAAGTTTCACTAATTCTGTTGGATTATCGACTGTGAGTCCAAAAAACAATACGTTATTTCTCCTTATCTTTCTTTCCAACAAGACGTTTCTTTGTTCCAATTTTTCAATTTTAATGTAATTCTTCTTAAGTTGACTAGTAACGTTAGCTTCACTTTGCTTGATTCTTGCTGTTAGTTGTTCGGTCTGTTTCTTATTTTCCGCTGATAGGAGTTGGAACATTTCATTAAAAGTTGTAGGCTCCCCCATTTGAAAGCGAGCGATGTTTTACGCTTAAATAATTTGGTCGGAGAGTACAGGTACCTCTTGAGATCTGGTGGGTAACTAAATTTGGTCTTGGATATTGTTTCATGTGTGTGTTTGGCGACACGCAGTCTGCTGTGACAATAGTGGGTACCCAGTGGGAGTGGCTAAAGTTGAGTATGCAGATTTGATCCTTATTGAATCCACAATTATTTTCACGTATCGGGGTGTAAAATAGCCTTTTTTTAGGGTAGTTTTAACAAATTGGACGTACCTCTTTTGATGTCTTTGTAGTTTAACCCATACGGAATCTGCTGGTACCACTTTCAAACTAAAAACTTTTGATAAACGTATAAAATTTTGCTTCTGAATTTTCACTTAATTTTAGGTATTCGAGCGGTACATTTACACTACATTAGCTGAGCATTTTGAAGAGAGACTACATAGCTTCGATTTTAATAACGTAGCTATTTTAGGAAAACATAATAACTACAAAAAACAGCCTTGTCGGAGAAATGATAGAGATTAAAAAGCATCCCAATAACATTAAGCCGGGATCGGTCGCTACCCTTTCTATAACGCGATCGGTCGCGTGTTAGATTTTATCTTATACTGAAAAAAAAAATCGGAATCAAAACTTAAACTTAAATTTGATAAATGCAATTAAGTCTTGGTATTTCAATCATAGTTGGTCGCGTAGTTAGATTTTTTCTAACAGCTAAGTGTACGCTGAGGTCGCGTGTTAGAGTTTAACTAACATCTAAGTCATCTTCTCGATATGGCTACCCCTTTTGAGCCAGCTAAGTGCCGATTTGCCATGAGCTTACATAGGACCTCTTCCAGGCACTTCGGGAGGGGAAATGACCTAACGCCACTATTCAAAGATTTATGTGCATAAAACTAAAAATGTTAGATTTTTTCTAACACCGCGACCGATCCCGGGTTAATAAAAGACAGCACGTTGAAAAATTGAGCATAATCTATAATAACATTTTAAAGTCCATCCAAAATCCTTCATAATACAATGATTTTCGTTTAATGGTTGGGTTGTTTGCGATTGTGCTGCATAGGTACCAAAACCCCTTTTTTGTTCCTTATTGATACGATACCAACCAAGACCCATATAAGAAACAAGAAGTGGTTTAGTGTAACGTTTGAAATAATAAAGCCAGTACCAAAGATTTTAAATTTTATTTTTGTTTGTAACTGTCTTATATTAATGTCCTGTTTGTTAAGAAGTTAAACCAAAAAACGAAGTCAAGCAACATTATGTTCCTTATGTATATAGCATTCTATTCAGTAACTGGAGAAGTAACTTGGATGTAAGTAATACCTGTTGTAATCTAATTTACCTTGTTCAATGTTATTTATACAGGGTGGGGTAGGAAAAACTTCCACACCCAGAGTTTCTCAGATGTTAGGTGTTTAATCAAAAATCGCTCAGACACGTCAATTTTTGTTCTTTGGGGGACACATTTTATCGGTATTTTCACCCCCTACCTGTCAACCCCTAAGTAGGGGTAACAGGTACTCCCAAAATTTCAAATGGAAAGAGGGATCGAGTGATATGTCATTTGGTAGCTATTTTCATTAGGATTTTATCCCCGAAGTTTTAAGTTGCTAGTGTTTACCCTGTCGAAATGGCGGCATGTCGAAGTTAGGATAAATGCTTTTCTTCGATAATCTAAACTGTATAATTTTTACCTGTCACACCTATACATAGGTAACAGGTAAAACCACACAGCATTTTTCCATTGATTTTTCCTAACTTTGACAAGCCACCATTTCGACAGGGTAAATAGTAGCAACTTAAAACTTCGGGGATATAATCTTAATGAAAATAGCTATCAAATGACGTATCACTCGACCCCCCTTTTCATTTGAAATTTTGGGGGTACCTGTCACCTCTACTTAGGGTTTGACAGGTAGGGGGTGAAAATACCTACCAATAAAATGTGTTCCCAAAAACCAAAAATTGACGCATTCGAGCGATTCTTAATTAATCACCTAACACCTGAGAAAACCTAGGTGGGAAGTTTTTCGTGCCCCACCCTGTATGTTATTTATTTATTTGATTTTTATTACAATTACACTGTTCACTATGTAATAATCCATGATGTTAGACTCATGAATATCCTGTTTTTAGTGCCCTGAGGATGGCCTAATTTAGGCCGAAACGTCGGCAAATACACATTATCTTCTTCAACGCCGTTTATTTTTGACCTAAATCCAACCTTTTTTCAAAAAAAACCAACCGGAATATCTACTGAGGTCATTAACTATAACAAAGTCTTTTTAAAGTAAAAATAAATTGCAACTGGTCGCTGACTACTGGCAGTGGATTTATTATGAAAATATTCAATCACCAGTTGTGATTTATCTTCACCTTGTTTCGACTGACTTTCAAAAGACTATACTGGCACCTGAATCTACAGCAAAACTAATTCGACCTTCTATTTTATTATCCTGCTCATCTAATTACGCATAGCTGCATATAACCAAATTGTTTGTTCTTCAGGCAAATTGCTTCGTTTACACTCTAACTTTTACCTCTGTATCCTCGACTTCCCCTTTTATTATTTTTGTTTTTTTGATTTGGTTGACTACTCTGATTAAAATTATTTACATTTTTGAAACATTGAGCTTACAGATCTGTTCTGCTTCCCTGCTTTCAGATATGTAACACTTCCTTGAAGAGACCTGAAAACCTATTTTTTACCTTGGTTTCTTCTTTTGAGTTTCATTTTCTCATCTAATAGCCTTGCTTTGACAAAGTCCATCTTAACATCAGCCACAGCTTCTAGAACAGTAGCTACAGTGTTAAATTTTGATGGTAGAGATAAAGTCCGTCGATTTTAATCTGATACTCGAAATGAATGTGTGCTGGTGGCCCCTACATTAGAACGCCAATGGTCACCTGACGTCACACCTGTTTTTGCCATATATTTCACCCCCTCGCTCCTCATACGGAAAGTGTCAGATAAAAATCGACGAACAATAGCAGTAGGTGACAGACCCTATCTGTCTCGTCTATTGTAGATCCAGGGTCTTTGAGACTTCGAATAATGGTGTCTTTAAGAAAATAATCCTCTGATTTGTCGTAAGAGATCGCTGACTTATTTGTCACTCTATCAGTTAATGAATGTTATTGAAAAAAATAGTGCCTAATAACAAAAAGCCATTGTCAGTCTATCAATATTTATATTCCTCATTTTAATAACCTGGGATCTGTCCCTGGAACAACTAGCAAATAAGTACAACACTCCATAAAATTCTAAACACCTTGAGAAGAGATTCATGAAGTACAATTTCGAGAGTTCGTCGGATCCTAGAAATTTGTTCAGAAAGTTTGAAACTTGCGTCCTACTTAAATCATCAATAGCTCCACAATTTTGCTTTCCGATCCGACCCTTACAAGGCAATAATTTTACAGGTAATCCAGGACCTAAAACAACGCCTGAGCAACATGCGTCCTTTGACGCCACCCCTCGAGGGAATCCAGCAACAGTACGGCATCAACAGTAACCTTCTCAAGGAAATTCTGGAATTCTGGAGAACGAAGTACAACTGGACCGAGCGCCAGGAATATTTGAATAAATACCCACAATATAAAACCAATATACAAGGTAACATAATCTTGAAACTGGAGAAGCAAGTTTTTAATCCTGCCGTCGAAAACAGGACCCCAAAAGCGTCAAATTGAATTGACTAACTTAAATTTCAGGTCTGGACATCCATTTTCTGCACGTTAAACCGCAAAACGTTCCGAAAACCAAAAAAATTCTACCGCTGATGATTTTGCACGGTTGGCCGGGCTCGGTACGCGAATTTTACGAAATCATTCCTCATTTGACCACCCAGAGCGACGACAGGGACTTCGTTTTTGAGGTGATCGCTCCCCACATTCCTGGATACGGATTTTCACAGGCAGCCGCCAAGCCCGGACTCGGCGCCAATCAAATTGCTGTCATTATGAACAATTTGATGCAACGATTGGGCTTCAAGCAGTATTATTGTCAAGGTATGTTGTCCTTGTGTTCTCCTGTCCTGTTCCTTGGTATATACTCTTAGTAGATAAGACATATTTTACTTCGAAAGAAGACTCTATGCATGTTCGTTCGTAAAACCACCTGCTTAGGTGTCGATATGCTAATTGTTGCTGTAGATTTTTATCGTTACACCTTCACTTCCAGGTGGCGATTTCGGTGCCATAATCCTACAATCCTTGACGATACTCTATCCAAACAACGTTTTGGGCTATCACACCAACATGGCCTACGTAAGCACACCCTTGGCCAACATTAAAACAGCCTTGGGCATGTTGTACCCAGGCTGGATCGTCAGAAAAGACCATCAAGACAGGGTCTACCCTCTATGGGATAAATTTATGCACAGAATACGTGAGACGGGATATTTACACTTGCAGGCAACTAAACCTGATACTTTGGGGGTCGGCGTAGGGGATTCTCCAGCAGGATTAGCCGCGTATATTCTGGAAAAGTTTACCACAGGCACCAACATCCAGTGGCAAACTAGAGAAGATGGTGGGCTGTTGGAAAAGTTCACCTACACAAACTTATTGGATAATGTAATGATTTACTGGATTAGTAATTCTGCTACGACTTCCTTTAGGCTCTATGCTGAGAGTTTTAGCACAGCTCACACAGGGCAAAATGTTCTAAGGTAAGTTACAATTGCTTAATATAGACAAATAAATTAATTGATTAAACTGTATATAGGCAACCAATTAAGGTGCCCACAGCTGTAGCGAGGTTTAGATGGGATTTCTATGTAGCCGACGGGCTGCTGGGTGAAATTTATCCCAACAATCTGCAGCTATCCGATTTTGACGGAGGTCACTTTGCAGCGTTCGAGGTTCCGGAGGTTTTGGCTCAGGATATATTCAATGCAGTGGAAAAGTTTTTAGTATACCAATCGAATGTTCAGCAATAATTTTGTGTTTTAGCTATTTTGAGTCATAATAAAGTGTCTTTAATTGATTATAAATGATGTCTGAAATAAATTTCGAAATATACTTTTCAACCATGATATGCGGTTTCAATGCAAAAATTTGAACTAGGGGCTATCGATGAATGTAACGTTTTACCTTTTTTTTAATTCAAACCTCAGAAAAACCTGACTTTTTGCTACTCATTTATTGATGTCAAAGTTTAACATTTTTGTCAGTTGGCTACCACAATGGACAAAGGGAAGCCGGTAAATAGTAATTTACGTTACAAGTTCGGTAACTCGTCTCGTTCATAAACATCTGAACTCGTACTTTAATACCTTCACGGACGTGATCGTACAGTCCGTCGATTTTAATCTGGCTCCCTACGTAAGAAAACTAATGGTCATCTGACATCACACCTGTTTTTGCCATATGTTTCACCCCCTCGCTCCTCATACGGAAAGTGTCAGATTAAAAACGACAGTGTCTTATTTTACTTTTTCATCTATGATTATTTATTCAATAGTAAAATTGTTGGATGAATTTTTTGTTGAATATTTTATTTTGGTTATAGACAGGGTGATTTGCGTAGCCTGGGCATTAGCTTGCAGGTGGATTAGATGCTATCTCTATTAATCCATCTGCAATCCAATTGAATTCTAATGCACGGGCTACAACAATTACGGTGTATAAGTATAATTGAATGAAATTATTGAAACCTCCGTCATTTGATACCTAACAGTCCAAGAAAGTAGCAGTCCAACTTTTGTCACGTTCCGGTAATGCTACATCACCGTAATGTTCTATGTGCAGGACTAAAATTGATGACTTAATATAGTATATTATTATGATATATGACAATATGAAAAAAAGTACTTTTTTCTTAGAAGATTAAATGGTACATTGATTCTTGCTCGATATTAAACTGATAAATGATATGAATTCTACACGCCCAAACCGGAATCCACTGCCTATCGACCAATCAAATTTTCCGTATTTTCGGAATACACGGGCCGCAACAAGACAATACAAACAAAGCATGACTGACGTCTACTGTCAGATCACGAAACTTTCGTCTAAAAAAAATAGAACTTTTGATGATTGTTATTTCTTACAAAAACTAATGATTTACGTTCAAAAAGTTCCAAGAGAAAGATATAGATAGCTCTTTGCTTTGACCGAGTTCACAAGCACGTCAGCCCCATGGTTTCTGAGATATTGTTATTTTTGGGGAAAAATTCGATTGAATTCAAGTTTTCCGACATCAGTGTGGTTCGATGAATAGATTTTCACGGAGATTATCAAGTAGCATTTTTCCGACTTACGACTAGATTTTCACTAGTTCCGACGTTGTAATTGGTAGAAATTTAGCTCACTTATTAACTTTTCAGTCGAAGTGAATACCCGACCTCCAGCCGACGTTAAATTGACCTCAGACATTTATGATAGCTGTAGTCAACGTAGATCAGACGTTTTCGAGTGTATAGTTTTTTATGGTAAAGCTGGCGACGTTGAGCGAACGCTAACTTTTGACTGTCGGTTTTTTAGCAATGCATCCAACCAATATCGACTACGGTTAGACGTCTTTATTGATATAGTTTAAATCTAGCTAAAAAATATAACCAAAGCTGTTAGCTAAATTGTTGTTGGGTATAACGTTAGCATTGGTATATAATTAAGGTTACCTACGAAAAGAGTCGAAGGTTAGACAGCATAATAGAGAGTTATTGGAACTATTAAATACTGCCTCGCAGTATTAAGGATCTACGTTATTTTATTAGTGCATCAGCACTATTTTTCCAAAAAAAACGGTTATTGCAAGACTGTAGTAGGTGCTAGAGTATTACCTTATTTTGTATTCATAATTTTGACAGATGATAGCTATGTTTATAAATTTCAGCCTCAAAAAGTGTTCATTTTTATTTGTGATTTTCTGCTGATACTCATTTTTTGATGTTATTGACAGTAAAATGAAAAACTATTGTAGAATAGTTATTTATGATATAAGTGTTAAAAGCATGTGAAAGTTTGCAGAATGAGCGAAGCGAATTCTGCAATTCACATAAGTGCCTTAAAAATACTTTTAACACAAATATCATACAATATTTTTTCTACAAACGGCAATAAAAAGCAATAACCCTTAACAAATTGGATTTTTAAATAAATAATAAATTGGAAGCATCTTTCCTACATAAAATTATTGAATTTGACATCTGTCAAAAAATCCAAACAACCAGCACCTTGTTTTACAGGTAATGCAATGTCTTGTCAGTTGGTCAGTTTCTTGAAAGTCTTTCGTGGTCAGTGATGCTTTTTGCTAAAAATGCGACAAAAACAAGAAGAAAAAGAGGGTTGCATTGATCCCTTGAAAAATATAGATGAGGCGGCCAAACGGGCTACGTGAGTTGTTCAAATTTCACCATAAATATCAATGTAAATAACTAAAAATACAAACTTTTTTTGACGTTCGCTCTCAAAATTTGATGTTTCATTTTTAACACTAGTGCTATAAAGACTTTATGGCACTAGTGCGATAAAGTAACATTTTTAATGCTACGGGAGCGTGTTAAAAATTGCGTTTTTAACACGTTTGTAGAAAATATAAATTTTCTAAGTCGTCGAAAAGCAAAAGGTCAAAGTCGTCCAAAATGTCAGAAATTTCAAATAAGGAAAGTTTACTGCCTCGCACTAACCATACACAAATAAAGACAAGCAGTAACCTTATTAAGGGAATCCTTATTTTCGGACCCAAATGCGCATGCGTAGATGTCAAAATAAGGCTAATTTAAATACTGCTTGTCCTTATTGCACGTCCAATAACTCTCTAATATCTCGACCTTATCGTCGTTTACAAAAGACAAAAACACAAACTCGATCATTAATTAAAGAATATAATTTCTAAATTCGTGCCAAAATTTTGAATTGGAGAAAAACGACAAAAATACTACAAACATGCTTATATAAAGCTTTTACTACAGTGCCTCTATACAAAACAGTGGCGACAATAGAGGGACTCATTTTTGATTGGCTGCAGAATATCGGCTATGTTTTGTCAAAAGTTATTTGTGTTTACCGTTTGATTCTATAGAGATTTATGCAATTTTGTGTTAATATATTTTTGTTTTTGTTATTTGTGCCTTTTATTGACTATTTTATGAGAAAAAATTAGAACAGAAAGAATAGAAAGAACAAATATAATATTATTGAATGAGTTCGACAAAACATGGCGGGTGGGCGGAGCTTAGGCGCTAAAGTTATTTGTGTTAAGCCATTTGATCCTATGGAGATTTATGCAATTTGGTGTTAATATAATTTTGTTTTTGTTATTTGTGCCTGTTATTGACTATTTTGTGATAAAAAGTTAGAACAGAAAAAAAAGAAAAAACAAATACACTATTGACTGAGTTTGACAAAACATGGCGGGTGGGCGGAGCCTAGGCGCTATTGTCGCCACTGTCTTGTATAGAGGCACTGTAGCTTTTACTTACATTCTGCGCCATCTTTAAATCAATATCAGAACCAAATACATGTATGCCACATAGACCCTTTTTGATTGTACCTATTGGGTTGAGACTTGGAACCATTTCCAAACATTATCTCAAAGATTATCAAGATGGCACTTAGACCCTTTAGAAGTTATAACTCTTCAATTATTAATCTCCAATTTTGTTGTTATAGTAATAGGTAATATATTTTTTCCGCAAACGTCAAAAAATGACGAATTTTTTAACCTCAATTCTTAATGTTGAAGTTTGACTTCACAGACGTCATTTTTTTGGTTACTTTTTTGTCCGCGCGTTCCGTGAGCGTACAAAATAGCTATTTGTGTACCAAGGCCGTAAAGTTGCGGCCGAGGCGCAGCCGAGGCCAAGCAAATTTCAGGTGAGGCCAAAAAAGATCATTCGGCCGAGGTGCACACAAATTTTTTTAGGCGAGTGTTTGTTCTTGAAAAAAGAAGAAAATTCAACAGTAGCTTTAAACTTTATTGATCAAATACTTAAATAATCCAGCAAAGATAGGTAGATACACAATTATTAATAACAAAAACTACGATAAAGAGAGTGTGATTATAGAAAATTGCCGACTTTTTCGCCTGGTATCTTACATTGAGCTTTTTCAAAAAAGCAATCAATTTTGAAAACTTGCTGATATGTTGTTAGGTATTTCTGACTATAATTAGTATAATTGTAAATTGTAACATATAGTATAACATAGGTGGACCTAAACAGTGAAGACCATAACGTTGAGGATTATTTAATTTTTGGATTTTCCGAAAAAAATGCAAGAAAATACTGCTCCGAAATTTTTAATCATGCCGTTTTTTTTTTTAGCATTTTATGTGGAATTTTGGATAGAGCTAAAATTAAAAACTTGGTTTCATTGTGGTTGCTATGTTTATTGGTTGTGTTCAGGGCCCGCTCTAGCCTTTCGGCCATCCTGGGCAAAAATAAGAATTGCCGCTCCAGAAATTGATTTGGAAGTTAAGGGAAAGGGGGTTATTCAGTGGCGGTCCGTGACTTTTATTTCAAAGTAGGCAGCCTAAAAAAAAAAATAGCGTCGTAGGTAAATTATTCCGCGGGAGGGAGGGTAATGCCCGCCGCAGGCGCCGCCGGAGGAAGAAAGTTTTTCGAATGCCACGCCTAAAAACGTGTATTTTAAGCTTTCAAAAAAACAACATCTGAAAATAGGAAGTTTCTTTTTAGCTAGGAATTTTCGCGTATTCAGCGTAACAAAAACCTGCGCTGCAGACCGAGCTTAAAGCGCAAAGTTGAACTTTGCGCACTCATTTTTGTTACGCATAGTTACCGCATTTATACTCGATTTTTCAATGTTTTGTGGGTTTCTGGAAAAACTTATTTTCAGAAAGAAAGGCATGTTATTTTTGTTCCAAGAAAGGCATTCAGGTAATGTTTAGCTTTTTTAATTTGACACTTTCCATATAAAGAGCGAGGGGAAGAAAAGTCCAGCAAAAATAGATGTGAGGTCAGGTGACCGTTGGCATGGGGAGTCACCATCTCACATTCATTTAGAGTATCAGAATATAAAAGTTGGACTGTAAGTTATAGTCCTCCATATACTCCTCAACTTAATGCTGCTG